GAACTGGGGGTTGGGGGGAGACCTACTTCCTCCTGGTGCCCAGATGCACACCCCTAGCATTTCACACCACTTAAAAGACTCTGCCCAAATTGCCAACAACGTGTTACAAACACAGCCCTTCCCGAAAATGGATCAAAAACACTTTGTAATGAGTGTAGGAGCTGGTTTCAAAAGGGCTAGAACGTCTAACAAAATTCCCAGTTCTGGGTGTTTGACACTCAAATGGCCCAAAACAGGATGGGAAAACTTCTCCCCAAATATTTCCACCGGCAGAAGTAGTTCTGTCTGTAGATCTGTGAAGAGTTATCTTTCAATTAGGTGTTTACATACTATGCATACATACTGTGTGTACACATCTCTACATGTTCATTTCTCCAAAGTCGGCATGTTTTAGAAGGGAGAGAAAGCTAAGGTTTGTCATGACCTCCTGACAGTGAGCCACTGGATTCAAAATCCACAGCAACAGGGATCCCTGGATATGTCTGCCCTCCTGGGGGCCTCTCCTTCCAACAGCCCTCCAAGCCCCACTGGAATCCCACCCAGACATTCTGGGTTGGGGGTATGGCAGAGAACATGCCCACTGCACAGAGCTGGGCCTACACTGCCTTGCCACAATAAAGCCCCTCTCAGTATACCCACGTCTCTGTTGGCAAATCCCACCCACTGCCTTATCTCTGCATCCCCTAACCATGAGCTCCACAGACCTGCAACCAGTCTCTTTAAACACACCTCAGACCTGCCCCCACCAGGCCAATGATGCACAAGTCCTGATAGAATCTTTGGACTGCTCTTCCCAACCCAACCCAAGACTGAAGGGCTTCCAGATCCTAACCAAAGCTCCTGTAGGCTCCTGGACCAGTTGGCTTTTCCAGCACTTTGTAGGATGACCACACGCTCACCTGCGCAGGATAAGGCTCCAAACGCAGCTCCTCCTATACTTCTACTCTGAGCTACGGTGGCACCCCGATGTGCACAGCATGCCAAGAACCAGCAGGAACCAGTGTGGTACAAGAGTACAGCCAGAAGCAGATGGCACCCACCCTGGGCCTAAGGGCCCTCTCCCCATTTCAGGCTCCCCCCGCCCCACAGGCTGGAGGCGCCAACTCAGAGAACACCAGGACTGAGAAAATCAATTGTGCTAATCGGGAGCTCGTCACTAGAGATGCCTTCCTAGGAGCAAACTGCATGTAAAACACTTAAAGTGGGGAGCTCCTGAACATGTTTCTTTTGTTACACGACCACTGCACGTTTGTCCAGAGTTCAGGGCTTTCAAACCACATAAGGTTTTATGGGATCATTATAAAATCCCTTCATTTCCCAAAGGCAGGGTAGTAAGGATTAAGTTTGACTACTGAAGACAGCTTTGTGGTAAATGGTCTCTAATGTCGCAGAGTAGCTTGGAAAGAGAGGCTTATTAAACAAATTTCGTGCGTTACAAATCATTAGAAGCAATCACCACATCAAGTTCATTTGCTTAACCTGAAAGGTATCCATTCAGATGCCTATGCAAGTTGACATGGCTCCTGGTGCTCACAGGGAAGCTCTCAGATATTAAAGGAAATCCAGGGAGCCCCTTGAAGGACTCAGGCTAGACCAGAAAACAACATCTTGTGGTTTTCTCACTTCTTGTGTAAGGCAAAAGAAATCTACTCATGAAAATCAGGGCCTAGAGATCAAGACATCACCTGTGAACCGGATGGAACCTCAAAGGAGCCTCACATATTAGGTTAGTGCCATCCTACAGAGAAGTGGGAGGTGGCTGAGTGAGGGGCTCAGATCTCTTCACCTAAGCAGACATCTCTACTTGCCCCTACCAGGTCACCTCCCTACCTAGAGCATATGTATCCCTTTAGTGATGGGAAGGGCTTGTCAGTGAGGACACAGGAAGGCAGTCAGGGGCTCTTGATGGAATTTGAGTTTCTGAATCCATTTCACAGAAAGGGAGCATTCATGGCAGCAAGGGCCAGGAGACTGGGTAGAATCAGGAAGTCACGTTAGAATCCTTGCCGTTGGCAGGGCCAGTCCTAGGTCAGGGCTAATGGCCATCTTCTCTTGCCCGTCTTGGATCCTGACCCTGGGTCCCTCACATGCACAGTTCTTACCCCTTTCCTAGCAAGGAGCAATGAATTCTGTACAGAAAGCCACATCCACATTCTATGACCTGCCCGGGATCCCAGCTCTTCACAAGATTTCTTGTTTACCTTCTCAATCCTACGTAATCCACCTAAAGGGTCTTGACCACCACAGGGGCCTTTATTTCCTGGGGTGGGAAGTTATCCTATAAAGATGGTCTACACATGCAGAGCATAGATTCCTATAAAATTACTGTACGGATTATGAAATTGAGGGTGAGGGAAGTCAGCTTCCTACAGTGTCTTAGCAAACCAACAGGAAAGAACAGAGCCCTGGATTAACTGTTTCAGATGCCATCACCTTTCTCTGTCTCTGTCTCTCCCCCACCTCACTCAGCTCAGAGATAGGATTTCAATATGAAATGCTCCCCACAGCCTCGTGCATTGGATCTTGGTTGAGAAGTATTCTGATTTCATTTCTGTTGCTGTGATAGAACACTCTGACTGAAAGCAACTTAGGGGCTCACACCTCCAGGTCACATGCTGTCAAGGGAAACCAAAGCAGGAACCCGAGGCAGAAACCACAGAGCAATGATGCTTCCTGGATCACCGCTAGCTTTCTAGCACAGCCCAGATACCTCTGCATAAGGATGGGGCCACCCACAGTGGCTGGGCCCTCCCTCATCAATCATTAGTCAAGACAATCTCACAGACATGGCCACCACCGACCAATCTGAGGAAACTCTGCAACTAGGGCTCCTTCTTCCCAGGTGACTCTAGGCTGTGTCAAGTGGACAATAAAAACTACTCAGGGTGAGAAGGGCTTGGATCCCCAGGGCTCTAACCTACTCTGTGCAGTAATCTCTTGATGGAGTCATAATTTTTAAAATTTATTATTTGTGTATGAATGTTATGTGCTTATGTTTATGAGTATACCCATGTCATGCGGTGACCGTGGAGGACAGAAGAAGGCATTGTATCCCCTGGAACAGATAGTTGTTAGCCGCCATGTGGGTGCTGGGATTTGAACCCCAGCAAGAACAACCAGTGCTCTTAACCACGGAGCCATCTCTCTAGCCCCTGATTTTTTTATTTACTCTCTCTCTCTCTCTCTCGCTCTCTTGGTCACTGAGTTTAAATACTTACATGTCTCAACAAAGTACTGAAAAGGTATATTGGTTACTTTTCTCCTCACAGTGATCAAAGAAGAGGAAGACAGCAGCCAGAGGGAGAAAGGCTCATCTGGGCTCACATTTCAGAGGAATGCCTTCCTTCTGGAGAGGAGGACAGGACAGCAGAAGCAGTTTGGTCGTGGTACTCACCTGGACCAGAGCGATGGACTGGGGTGCAGCACACCTTTCCTTTTCTTCCACCAGTAGGGACTGCAGCTTGTGGGGAAGGTAACACCCACATTCAAGGAGGGCCCTCAGGTCACCCTCCCAGGAAGTCCCTAGTAGATGTGCCTGGAGGTGGGGCGTATCCCAGGCAACTACAAATCCAATCAGGTTGACAGTGGAGAGTCAACATCACAAGTGGATTCTGATGCTACTGGAGAGAAAGTACCTTGATTTGATCATCTCCACGCACCCAGGGGCCTAGCTCATCTTCTGTCAGCAGATAGTCCAAACGTGCCTTGAGTAGGTAACGCAGGGGAGCAGGGGGCACAACTTCAATTGTGGAGGATGGCCTCTGAGAGTCACCAGGGCTCATCATAAAGCAAACCGTGCTGAGCTTCTCTGAGCAGCCTTTTCTGCTAAGATGCTGGATCCTGTGGGTCATAGATCCAGGGCAGGGAGTTAACACACTGGAAAATGGAAGGGCTCCAAGAACAAAACAGAACCAGGATTCCCACAGCATGGTGCTTAAAATGTGTGGTCCTGGGATGGGACCCTGAAACCAACATACTTGTCTTCCTGAAGGTTCAGGATGATCCTATTCCCCAGGGTCTCTAAGTCTGTCAGGTCAGATACCACAGAGACTGTCCTCCCTCTTGGGCTGGCCCCAGCCAAATATCACAAACTGGGTGGCTTAAAATAATGTAGATTTATTTTCACAGTCCCTGAGGCTAGAAGTCTAAAACAAGGGCTCACCTGTCCAGCATCTGGAACTTCCACGTGTGCCTAGTTTCTAGCTTTCTGCTCATGCCGACACAAGGCCTACCTGATCTGGGCCCTGCTAACTTGTGACCTAATCACCACATGTCACCTCTGCCCATCTCCAAATAAGACCACATTTGGATGGATGGAAGGAAGATCCCAACAGTTTTCCTGGTGGACACAATTCAACTCCTGTCACGCGCTCATAAGAGGCACTGCTGGACACTGCTGAGGTGGACGACCCGCCAGGCCCCTGACCCAACCCTCGGGCGCAGCCCCAGGCAAGCGGTGGCTCTTGCTTCTGCTAAGCAGCACGGCCCCTCAAGGCCAGACCCAGATTCAGACTTTCCGGTTACACTAGGTGCCACCACCATCCCTTGGTCACGAGCTGGCGGCATACAGCCTATGACTGTGTCACAGCGGGTAAACTGAGGCTCGGGATAAGTTGAGAGGCTTGGGTGGGTAGGTGCAGCCAGACTCCAGTGGCCAAAGGGCTGGGAGCGGGAGGGCAGAGGGCGGCGGTGGGGAAAGTGGGGGTGTGGGAGGGGGCGGGTAGATCTGCGGGTTACCAACCAGCATCAGGCCTGGGCCAGGCGCCCGCACCCAGGGAGACTGCGCAGAGCTGCAGGCCGGGCGCCGCGCACTGGGCATGCGCGGCCTGCTGAGAGCCCGCCCCGCGGTCTCCGCCTCGCTTCCGGGTGCCCGCAGCCCCGCCCCGCCCCTCACAAGCCCCGCCCAGCACGCTCTGGCCACGCCCCACGCCGCTCGCACGGTCCACCACCCGCCCCCGCCCCTTTCGCTCCAGGCCCCGCCCCGTTCCAGGCCCCGCCCCCGGCCGCGCTTCAGGCAGCCCGCCCTCAGAGCTGCAGCCAGGCGCGTGGTGCTGCGGCCCCTCTGCAGTTTGCAAGTTGGTGAGTGTCTGCACAGTTTGCAAGCTGGTGAGTGTCGCCCCGCACAGTGCGGAAGTCCGGAGTTCAGGGGACAGTCGCTACCCTGAGTTGTCTTGAGGGCGCACTCCCTTCGCCAGGCCCTCTGCCCCTCCTGTGCAGGCCCAGGCACGCCTCCTTGCCCCGGGCTTGAGGCTCTTGGGTCAAGTTGCCTGCTGACTGCGGCCCTCGGTGGGAATCCTGGCCGCCCTGGCACAGCCCCCCATCCGGCACATTCATGCCTCTGCTGGACCTAGGCCCCCCATCCGGCACATTCATGCCTCTGCTGGACCTAGGCCAGGGCCCGCGGGACGTCTGCCCACCCTCCTGCCCTTTACTGCTGCCCAGGCCATGGGTGTCCGCGTAGCCTTCCTTTCAGGAGGCTTCCAGAAGCCCCTGCTCAGATCCTCTTGCTGCTGAGCCCCTGGCTTCCTAGTCTGATGGCAAGAGAGAATAACCAGGTCCCAGGGTCCTGCCCACATCAAGGCTGGTGTACACATTCCCTCAAAACTGCGTCCTTAAACACTTAGGGTAAACAGGTGGTGTTAGCCAGTTACACTGTGTACTGCAATCCCCAAGTCAGTGACTCCAGGCCATGCACTCCTTGCCCAGTGGGTGTAGCTAATGAGAGCCACCACAGCCCTGCACCTAACTGCCTGGTCCCAGAAGCTGACCTTCTGTTCTGGGAAGCAAAGTTGAGGGCAGGTGTGAACAATTGTGCGTGACTGGGCCATCCTCAGACAAAGAGGGTGTAGTAGTCTCTGCTAGACAGACGTTTTTCATCGTCCTCACCCGACAGGTGATGGGGATGACTTGTCTCCACCTGTCTCTCCAAGGCTGGAATACTCAGTGATGCAGACTTAGAATGCTGGCTGTGGGGGTGTCAGGAGCCTTGCTGGTGGTCAGTGCTATCCTCTGATTCAAATGCGCTGTCTGGTATCCGCCAGGGCCAGGGCCAGAGCCTGAGGGATGGCAGGAGAGAATGGGCCTGCACTGGCCTGCCTGAGCTTTGGTCTCTTTCTGGGGTCCCTCCCTATCTTCACTTAACATTTGACAGAAATGTCTTACCTTCTGGGGTCTGGAGGACTAGGCCAGGAGTACACTGTTGTGTTAAAGCACTCTTCTTTGAGGGCATGCTTTCCACTGGGAAATATATCTGTACACAGTAGGTGGATTTAACCAGTAATACACCGCATGACTTTAAGAAGGTCCCACTGTTAGCAAGGTTTAAGAAGCAGAGCCCTGGGGTGGGGTATGGTGATGACTGTGCTTAATCCCAGCACTCGGATGGCAGAGGCAGGTGGAGCTCTGTGAGATCGAGGCCAGCCTGGTCTACATAGCAAGTTCTAGACCAGCTGGGGCTACAGAAAGCAGAGCCCTGTTAAACCAACTATGTTCTAGGTCAGGGTGCCCCCCCCCCCCCCCCGGGGCTGTCCACTCCCTTGTCTCCCTGGGAGTACCTTCTCAGATGTGTCAGAAAGGCCGCCTTCCTCATGCAGAGACAGAGGGACCCAGAAGAAACCAGACCAGTCTCCCTTCCTCTCCCTCAGGAGGCAGGCACAAACAGTACACTCCTCAGCATTTGTAAATAAATCTAAGCTGTGCATGGTGGCTCACGTTTGTAATCCCAGTACTTGGTAGGCTGAATCAAGAGGATGCCATGAGTTAAAGGTCAGCCTGGACTACGTAGTTCTAGGTGAGCCTAAACCACAGTGTGATACCCTGTCTCCAAAAACAAACAAACAAAAACAACGAATCAACCAACCCCAAAAAACACAACTAAATTGTCATTATTTTTCTTACTTTACAGAGTACAAACATTTAGGAGCCAGCAGTCAAATCAGCAACACTAACTCTCAGTTGTTAAATTACCTTTTCAGGTTTTAGCCTGTCCTTCATAGGGTAGGAAACTCATTAGCACACCCGTTCTCTGGATTTTTTTTTTCTGTGATCATCTGAAGACTTCACATGTTCCTCTGTTTGTAGTGGGGCTACACTCCAAGTAAGCTCATTGTAAACTGAAAATATTGTACGTCAAAAATGCATTTCACAGATTCCCCGAACAGCTTCACTCAGCACCACATTACACTACACTATAGACACACGTGTTATCTAACCTTTTGACGTGAGATTGTCATCTATGGAGTTCATACTTGAAAACCATGCAGTTGAATTACCAGAAACAAAACAAATCACCCCTCCGCGAATCTCATAATGTTTTAGTAAGTTTACAGTTTTTTGTTGGGTGGCATCCTCAGTGACCCACAGGCCTCAGGTTGGACATGCCTGCTTGTGCCCACAGCTTCTCTTGATCAGGAGCTGGTGGCATCTGCAGGATCAATGATGATGAGCCCCAGGGAAAAGCCCAAAATTCCAAATTCAAAGCACAGAGTCTGCCAAATGCATAGTGCTTTGCACCATGTAAAACAGTCATTACGTGTTAGGTAGATCATGAAAGTTGAGGACTGTGTTGTGTTTGCATTTTACTGTGACCCTGCCTAATACCTGGCGCCAGTGTGAAGTGTGTAAGTCTGATTTCCTCTAGGCCTCTGAGTTCTGGTTGGGTCCGAGTGCCTTGGACTCTGAAAGACCCTGTGCCTGACCACAGCCGTTGGTCTGGATGGATGGCTTTAGGAAGGAGTTGGTGTCTCACTGTAGAATAGGTTCAAATCAGAGACCTATAGATCAACATTCCAGTGGGCAAGTATCAACTCTGTCAGCTTGTCTAAGACACTGATAAATAAGCCAGCTCATACCAGTTCTGGGTCTTAACTGAAAGCAAAAGAGTTTGCTTGGTGGGAGCCTTGTGGGAGGCTGGCTCTGCCTTGGTTGACAGGATGGATTTTTTCATTCTGTTTGCACTGGAGGCCTGCACTGGGCACAGGTAGATAAAAGTTGGAGACTCAGTATTGTTGCCTACGTGTGTGTGTGTGTGTGTGTGTGTGTGTGTGTGTGTGTGTGTGTGTGTATGTGTGTCCTTGTCACTGCTGGGCTGTGGAAATAGTCGAGTGGAGGAGGGCTACCTGGTTTGGGGAGAACCACATAATGAATATGTGGAACCAACAAGTGACTTACTGTTTCCTGTAGCTGTTAAGATGATTTTCCTTAAGAAGAGAAACATATCCTTTAGTGACTTTTTGACTCTGCGAAGGAATCAGTGCCTTGGTAGATGTGGTTCCCATGTAGAGGGATCACGGGCCATGTCTTTGTAGGTGCAAAGCATCCAGAGTGGTTAGGCCAGCCTCCTGCACCTCGATGCAGAGCCTGTCCCAGCTAATAGACAGGCTGCCCTCAGGGGCCACAGATGCCATGGTGACACCCTGTTGAAGGCTGAACTTGCTTTCTGTACTCCCATCTAGAGTGAACTCATTTTTGGCTTGCAGTGTAGGAGTAAAACCACTTAGAGAGTCGACAGGAACATCTCACAGCTTCGCTTGTTGTCATGGACGGCCACAGGAGGAATGGTGGGAGAGTAGTCAGTGCTTAGCATGTCCTTGGTACCACTAAAGTTCCAGTTAGAATCATTTCCTGCCCATAACACTTGGGAAGTCAGCATAGCATCCAGCCCCAGCTCTAGGGCCCATTCCCAGAAGTCCGGGGGTGACACTGAATGCACACTGCACCAATGGCATGCCTCATAAAAGCAGGCACTTGTTAAATTTATTTGTTTTTATTATAGACATCGATCTGCCAGTTGCAATAATGCATTTATGGACATTTTTCTGCAAGCACAGTGCTGGTGGGTTTTTACGGACAAATTGAGTCATACAGATAGTAGTTTGGAGAACTCTTAACTTATTGACAGATCGGGCCATCCCAACACTGGATTTAAGAGGTGCCTGATGGGTGAGGAGAGAAAACGACTCTCAAGGCTGAGCAAGAGATGGGACTTTGGATGTGGAGATGAGGTACAGAACAGGTAGTTACTTCTTGTTTCTGAACTTAGCTAAATTTTAACCCAGGCCAAAGATGGGGAGCCAGGAGTGTCACCTTCAGGTTAGGCTGCTGCTGCTGTGGTTGGTGAGGTCCACCCCACACAGTCTCCAGCAAGGCTGGAAATGTCAACCTGTCATTCCATGAGTGGAGTGCTCATGGGCTGTCCCAACGGTGGTCTGAGCTCTTACGATGTCAGAATTTCTGAGCATGTTGGTTCCAAAGGCAGATTATAGGACTCTTTGACAGACTGACAGAATCAGAGCCTGAGGACCTGCCGCTTGGATGGCTCCTACAGGACTCTGGCAAGCCGCAAGGCTTGAGCCTCTCAGTCAGTCTTTAGGGTCAGTTGTGAAGCAGAGCTTTCTAGTCCAGACTAGCTCTGAGGTTATCTTCCAGCTGGATCTGCGGTTGGCATTGCTCTGTGTTGCCCAGGCGTATGGATCTGTGTATGGTTTTAAATTTCTTAGAGACAAGAAAAACTTCATCATGCAAACCCAACACGTTGTCCTAGCATTAGGGCTCTTGGTTTGTGGTCCCAACAGAAGGCGCAGATGTCACAGAAACTCAGGCATTGGTTTTATGTACGAGCCTGAGGCCTGGGCAGACTTGTCTTCATCCTTGTCACCCTCCTCAGTGGGTTGTGTTGCTTTTCTCTTCCTGTAGAAACATTTTCTCTCAGGTGACGGTTAACTTCCAAACACACTCCCAAGTGCATGTTTGTGACGCTGAAAGGGGTTCTGTAAGCAAGTGCTAGAGTTGTGTGTGGAGAGGGCATGGTACATGTCATTGACAAGTCAGATTCTAGTTGTGTTGCATGGGTCGCTGTAACCATCCCACCCCATGTCCTCATGTCAGCTGGATGAGGATGATTGGCTTATTCTGTCCACCTGAGTAAGAAGCACATGCAGGGGCTGGAGAGACAGCTCAGTGGTTAAGAGCACTGGCTGCTCTTACAGAAGACCCAGGTTTGATGCCCAGCACCCACAAGGTGGCTAACCGTCTGTAACTGTTTGTAATCCAACACCCTCTTCTGACCTCTGTGGGTACTGCATGACATGGGTACACTTACATACATT